TGGGTGGTGATGACTAGCTGCCTTCCCTTTAGTTTTACACTGCTAAATTAAGGAACGGCTAGCACAGATAACCCTCGTGTAGCTTTGTGCGAAATTCAAAACAAACAAACACATAATTCTTGATAAATACCTACATATATCAGAACTAAAAAAATAGATTAAAAGGGTATGTGTTTGAGTTGATACTGATGTGCCATATTTACATATATTGTGTGTGTGTCTATGTAAAAATGGAGATACTTCAAGTTTAAGAAAAGCAGTGCTTGCTTCAAAGACACTATCTAACTTTGGGCCATTGAATGCTAGTTGAATTTTTTTGCCAAAAATCTCTAAGAAAAATAATGTTCATTTGTATTTGTAAATAATATATGAAAACCAGCTGAAATGTAACTTGAAAATGGACATACATTTATAATGTAAATGTTGTATAGAAAATTAATTCAACCTTTCATATTTCATCTCTGATTTGCTTAAGTTCTTGCAAATATAGTTTTCAATTTAATTTTGTATTAAAGTAAAAATCACAGTATATTGCACTAGTAATTTATGGTTGATAAATCTAAATTAGTTTGTGTAGACTAAATGTGTGGTATTACAAAATTATTTAATTTTGTATTATATATTCTTGTTGTATATCAGCATATTCTTTTGTGGGTTGACAAGTAGCTTGCATATACTGTCTAGAAATCATATTTGGTGGTTTACTGGCAAAATAAAAATAGCTTACAAATGTAATACACTCATTTTTACAAAAGTTTTTAAATTCAAGTATGTTGCTGAAGTTTTGCATTTAATGAGGCTTGAAAATAAGGTAAACACAGATGCATTTCTAACTTGAGCTGAAGATAGGAAATGTAAATCTATCTCATGACTCACTGACACTTTAAAACACGAAACAGTAAGCTTAAAAATGGTGCCAGCTGACTAAACTGATACAGTCTGTCAGTTCTCTCAGGCTATATTTATACACAGACTTGCATATATAGACTATTTTGTTGATGAGAATAGGTGTTGAGAAGCTGATTTTCAATTTAGTTATCAACGATGATGAGAAGATGGAAACCACAAGGCATAACGAAAACAGGGATTAAAATTATTTTACTGCTGAAGATGATGTGAAGTTGATTTTTGTGTGTGAAAATAAACCACTGTTTAGACTCTTCTTGTAAATAATATTGTCAGTTGAAACTGGATTGAAATATTTGACTGTTTTATTCAGTTAAACTAACACTGAGACAAAAAAACATCAGTGGACTAAAACTGGACTAAATGTTTGACCATTTTTATATATTAGTAAAGTAGATTAAGACATTGACTAAATTAGACCCCTGACAAAGATTAGAATATAATTCGAAAAGACTGTTGTCAACTAGACTAAGAGTGAATTAACAGTAGCTTATATTTATTGAAAACGTATTTGAGAAAATCTAAGACATAAGGCTATTCCTACTTCCGTAGAAAAGCTGTGTGTATTAACAGAAGCATTTCTGTAACATAATAGAATTAGAAGTGACTTTATTAAAGTTTTTGAAATTGTTACAAGTGGTCTTTTTGAGCAGTAGAATGATAAGGATACGAATGTAAGAATGATTATTAAGTTATTAAGCTTTGGAACTGTAGATCTAAATTGTT